CAGAAACGATGGCAGGATAAACCGCTTCACGGCCAATACTCTACTCGTATCAGATAACGTGATGTAGACAAAGCCAATAGCCATCATTGCAGTAAAGCGTTAAAAGCTGAAACTGAAAGTTTTATTCTTCCTGCACAGGACCAATGCTTGCTAACTAGAAATTACCAAGCACAAACTCTGAAAAATTGTGGTAGCCCAAAATGCAGATTCCGTGATAAATATCCAGAAACAATTGACCATTTTGAATCAGGTTGCGTTGCATTGGCACCCACTGAATATAAAATACAGCACGACAAAGTGGACCAATATCTGCTCTGGAAAATCTGTAACACTTACGGCAAGGAAACTGCAGGTAATTGGTATGAACACCACCCAAACCAAGGACCTTTAAGAATTTTATGGGACATTAAACGACACACAGACAGAATAATCAAAGCTAATCGCCTAGACATTGTGATTAGAGACCGCAAATATAAAATGAACTTTTTTTTATTAACATGGCAGTCCCTGTAAACTGCAATGTATCTTTGAAGATCTTCAAATAACTATCGAAATCGGAATCTCTAAAATGTGGCACTGGAGGACATCAGCAATTCCAGTTGGAGTTGGAGCCTACGGGTTAATTGGTAAAGAATCCACTGGATTGAAGATGATTCCTGGTAGACCTTAGCTTAAAGAAATACCAAAAAAATGTTCTCACAAGTAGAGCCCACATCTTACGAAGGGCTTTATCTATGTAAAATATGTGATTTTTTTCTTCAAAACTGCTAAATAGAAAATGTCCTGTTGCAGTTTATGACTTAGGGTTTCTGGTCGGGACTCGGAAATTAATGATTATACACAAGAAATCAAATCAAATCAAATAATAATACAGTGTGACCCGGATATAAGAGACCCGGATATAAGAGAAACCCGGATATAAGAGAGATTTTCTCTGGTCCCAAATTAGAGCCTGTGTTAATGTATATAAAATAGACCAAACCCGGATATAAGAGACTTCTTCTCCGGTACCGACAACTCTCTTATATCCGGGTTACACTGTAATAATTCTATACAGGAAATTCCCAAAATAGTTTAAGATCTTGAAATGGAAATCTTGAAGAAATATGGCACAGAATAACATCAATAATTCCAGATGTAGCTGGAGCCCTCGGATTGATTGGAAAAGATTCCAAGAGACTCAATGAAGGGCTTTCTGGTAGTCTTTGTCTTAAAGAAATACAAAAAATTATACTCACAAGTAGAGCTCACACATTACAAAGAGCTTTATCTATGTAGAATGTGTGTAATCTTTTTTTTTTTTTTTTGTGGGAAATGTGAAGCTGTTTCTAACCTTAATACATGTGCAACGGAAACCAAAGGAAATATTAATAATAATACCTTAATTCCGCATGTATAATACGCATTTTTTTCTAAAAAAAATAATAAGCAAAATTAAGGGTGCGTATTATGCACAGATGCAAAATATCTTTTAAAAAAATTGCCGTTTCATAGGTCGATTTCAATTGCAAAATGACTCCTCACCACAAATATACGACAATTTGACACTAACATTCAGCAATTGCAACCCCATAAGGATGTCAAATACAATCATATGTACCTAAAAATACTTACAAATATAAAATAAAATAAGAATTATCATAAAACTAAATTTTAATAATATTATTCTATGTTTAAAACCATTTTTTGTGAAAAACTACATACAGATCCATTTTTATTGCAGATTTTATCGAACAAAAACAGGTTAATGAGTCTGCGCAGTAGGCACAATATAAGTATTTCCGTTTCCTTTTAGAATCGAGGTGATCGGAAATTTTGATAAATATCTTCAATTACAGCTGGAATAAGAGTAGGAAACGCTCGTCGTAATGAAATTGAAGTGGTACAATTTATAGGGATTGATTACCAAAAAAGTAATGCGTATTATGCATGAGTAAAAAGATTTTCCCACAATTTCAACAAAATATTAGGTGCACGTATTATGGATGAAGGCGTATTATACATGGGGAATTACGATGTATGAACATCACTTATACCCCGTTACAGAGATATGTAACAATTTTAATTTAAAAACTTGGATGTGCGGAAGTTCAATGTATAATGTCTCGGGATGGGAAATCGTAGAGCCGAGTACCCCTTTCAGTTCGGTTCGTTGTATTCACTGACATGCAAGTACACTTGGGGAAATTATGAATCCGCCATTTTCCCCCAGCTATGGGTTTATTAGTAAGACTTGTATCCCTAAATCATTACGATGCCCCCCCCCCCACCTAAAAAATAATCTTACAATCTACAAATATTTTCTCGTTTTAAATTACCCGAAATATTCTCTGGTAAATTATCTCCGAGATATTTAAATTGTTGTAATTGTTTGATTTTGACACCTCTAATTTGTAATTTGCATTTTGTGCATATTATTTTGCAAACAACAAGGCATTCTGTTTTCTTGCAATTGTTGTTTAGTCCTTTCTTCTTGCTTTCCATCAGTAGGGGTTTTTAT